ACTCCGCCACGTGACCGCCGGCGCGTCGGGGTGGGGGCCGGGCCCGGGCAGTAGGGAAAGACCGGGTCACCGGAGGACTGGGGGCGGAAAGCCGGGGTATTGGGTACAAGACACCAGGGATGGGAAACGGGGAAGGCGAGACCCGGGGAGGGGAATACGGGGGCTATAGCGGGACACGGGCACAGGGAACACAACGGGCTGGGGTACTCGGGGAGACCTCGGAAAGGGAACATGGGGCAGGGACGAGGTGGGGGACGTGGAGAGATACAGGAGTAGGGAGAAATGGAGACATGGAAAGACCTGAGGACTGGAGGGACAGTGCACACGGGGGACGTGAGACAGGGACATAGGGGGGTTGGGGACATAGGGAGACTGGGAGACAGGAACATGGGGAGATTTGGGGGTGGGGAACACGGGAGGACACGGGCAAGGAGATGGCAGGCGAATGGATGAGATGGCAAGCTTCTTTCCAAGAAGCTCTGACCCCCCAGTCCTGTGCTGCCACGGAGCCAAATAATCAGGCAGCCACCACAGGCTTGGGGTAACATTTATTGAAAAAGTAAAAAGTGCCACACGATAAAAAATTGACCTAGAGAAAAAGCCAGGCCAGACATAGGTATAGGGGCCAGGGTCGTGCCCAAGGATGGGAGGCTGGAGCCCAAGGCTGGGCGGCCTAGTCCACGCTGGCTCCCTTGAAGAGCTCCACCAGATCCTTGAAGTCTGGGTCGATGAGGTCGGAGGGCAGGTCACCGTCATCATTGGCTGCTTCTCTGTCTGCCCCCAGGGAAATGAGGTACCTGGGTGCAAAGGGCAGCCTGGTTGAGGTATGCTCGGCCCGCCCCAGGGCAGAGGGTGAGTCCTGAGGTCACCTGTCAGTTTTTCCTGGCAGGGTGAGGAGGAAGAAACCAGACCCCTTGGCAGCTGTGTCGGTGTTTCCAGTTTGCTGTAGTGCAGCAAAGGGTGGCTGTGGTGCTAGAGCCCTGGGCTCTTTGCCTGTACCAGCAGGGCCAGCTTTTGGGGGCTGCACACCCTGGAGACAGGTGAGGTTCAGGGGCCTCGGGACGCAGCCTCTGCAGCTCACCTGCCCTTCTGGCTCACCTGGCTATGTCAGGGTACCCGTCGCTGCAGGCAATGTGCAGGGGCGTCCACCCCGTCTCGTCGCGCTGGTGAATATCAGCTCCGTGTTTGACCAGCAGCTTTACGCACTCCAGGTTTCCAGACAGCACAGCTTCATGTAGAGCAGCCAGGCCTGGGCAGAGGTCAAGGCTGGAGTCCTTGAACTAGCCTTCCCCTGCCACCCCACACACCCTTGGCCAGTTGCTCCAGTCCTCTCACCTGAGGGGTGGATGGTGTCCAGAGAGACCTTCCGAGTCCTGATGAAGCGGCCCACCTGCTCCAGGTCGCCCTGGCGGATGTGGTCCAAGAAGAGGACATCATTGGGGAAACGGACACTGCGATAGGCCATCAGCCGCCGGCGCCTCTGCCGGGGGCTGTAGCGGGAGTAGCGCACAGTTCTGCTGGGCATCCTGGGGGCAGGGAATGGGCTGCCACTCTGGGGACCCTGCTGCACCAGGCTGAGGAGTGAGGCAGCCAGGCCAGACTGGGACAGTGTGCAGGCTCTCGTCTGACAGGCCTCGCTCCTAGCTTATATAGGGATTGCAGGGCTATATAAAGCTGCGCAGTCATGCTTGCCATGGCAAGGGGCTGAAACCGAGCTGCTCCCTCCTCCCTGTGCACAGGATCGTGTTTGGTAGCTCATCTTTCAGCCCACCTGTTGCCATGTCTGGTCAAAGGGGTCAGATCCTTCTTGCCACCACTACCAGCCCCCGCCTACAGCTGGACCTAGAAGGTGCCTCACAGAAGGCAGGAACAGGACTAGGCCGAAGCCCCTGAGGAAGGCCGCAAGTGTGGGCTCAAGGGCAAGGTGGGGGCGGGAGAGGGCCTGAGCACCTGCAGTGTGCTGCTCTGCTGGCCTGTCGAGGTGAGGGGCTGCCTTCCCTCTCCAAGGAGTACTGGAGGCCCCAGCCCTGTCCACCTTCCCACCCTTCCTTGTCCCCTTCCGTTGTGCTTCTAGCCCCCTAGGGAGCTTTCCCAGGACAGCTGCCATTGCTGCCCAGGCAGGGAGCTTGGGCCAGTCCTGTACACCCCCCAACACACATGTACTGGTCTGCCCACCTCTTTCTTCTGGTTCCAGGCTCTCCAGAAGTGTCAAGGACACTTGTTCACAAGGGCAGGTGGCATCCCTTCTGCATCATAAAGGTGGGAGCTTTCCTGGAGTGTCCCCTGTGCCCCAGCAGGCTCCCATGCCGGCTGCCCTCCGTTTTGCAGCAGCCACGACCGACGTCGTTCGCGCTGGGGACCTAGGAAGAGCTGATGGGAAGGCCAAAGACTCAGGGGCAGTCTGGGTCGGGGGAGCCCAGGAACAGGGCAATGTGGTGAGGAGGCAAAGTCTTAGCGGGTCCCTGAAGTCCCAGGAGCTGCCCAGCGGCGCTGAGATCCCTGGTGGGGCCATGGCAGAGCACCACAGGCTTAAGACCCACGAGTCCATGACCAGTCAAGGCTCAGGTATGGGCAGGGCTGGTCTCCCTAGGCTTGGGGAGAGTTCTCCTCTTCCAACTTCTGGAGATCTCTGCAGGCTTCAGGACTCCACTTTCTCCTGGCTTGTCCTGTGTCTGTCCAAATCTCCCTGGTTATGAGGGCATAACAGGACCTGCCCTGTTCCAGTATCACTTTGTCTTAACCAGTTATACAGCAATAGCCCTATTTCAAAATAGGCCACATCTGGAGGTATTGGGGGGTAGGACATTAATTTGGGGGGACAAAAAACTCACTGCACTGGTGGAATGCTCCAGGTGGTTGTGGGAGGTCTGAATGAGTCCAGAGGTCAGAGTGGCCAGCTGCTTCTCCAGAGCTGGAGAGGAGGCCAAGAGGTTGGTGGCAGGCAGCAGGCTGGTCTCTGGCCAATGAGACCAAGTCAGCCAGGGTATCAGGAGCTCTCCAGGAGGTGTAGAGGCATGGGTTGCAGGCCATGGGGAAATGGCACTGACCAAGGCCTCTGTGCCCAGGTACACCTCACCACAGCCCAGGGCTGTTCCCTCTGCCACTCTCTGTCCAGGCCCTGGCCCATTTCCCGTGTCCTCCTTGGGCAGAGTCAGGTATAGTTTCTTCTGTATAGACGAAGCCAGGAGACTAAAGGGTCTATGCTGTAACCAGACAGGACCCTTCTTTGAGGAGAAGATTGCCTTTTCTCCCCTTGTGGAAAAATTCTGTCTCCCCTTATCCACTCAGGATTGGATGAAAGCCTGTGAGCGAGGCTCAGCAGGAGCATGCTTGCCCGGCACGCTCCTGGGCTTGGGTGCAAAGAAGATAAAGTCTTGCTGGATGTAGCCACCTCCAGTGCCTTGGCTGGACTGGCAAGACAGCCCTTTCCAGTGGTGACCGGGCCTCGGCCACTCAGGGCCAGGCTAGCCCCTCTGGCCAGCCTGTGTGGGGAGGCCAAGATGGGCCACCCCACTAATGGAGAGCAAGAGAGTGGGGATTTGCGGCTCTGGGCTTTCTGTTCACTCAAAGCTGGCAGACCTACCGAGGATTGGCTTGACTCTTGTGGTGCAGGATATTGGGGCTCTTCCTGGAGCATCCTTGCAGGAAGCTAGCTGTGAGTAACCTACACTGCTAGACCTGAGGAGGAAATGTGTATGTGATCTTCTCAGGATAAGATTGTTTTGAGACAAGGGCTGGGGATTTAGCTCAGTGGTTCTGCTGCCTGCCTAGCAAGTACAAGGGCCCGAGTTCAATCAATGGTACCAAAATATGAATATA